ACAACTGTTTGTTTTGCCTCTATCTCCCTCAAAGCGTAAGGTCAACCCTTCACCGCCTTCGAGTTAAAGAATCTCCGTGTAGCAATCGACCCTAGCATGATGTTTCTCAAGACAATCCATCCCGAGAATTGCATCAAACTCGATCATACTCAGCGGTACGAAATCACACGTCAAGTTCTGTCCCTCCACCTCCACCTCACACGATGGATAGTGGCTATCTCTCTCGATATCATCCCCTAGAGGCGTGGACACCAATAGGGTTTGAGTCATCGGTACAAGTGGTCCGTTGAATCCGTTGGCGAACGCCTCACTCACAAATGATCGTTGCGCCCCGGTATCAATAAGGATCCTTGCGTCTCTCTCGTTTATCTTTAGTGTTCCTACATTCATAAATAATGTATATCACACTATCTATTTAATAGGCTTGTTTCTTAAGTCGTAGAGTATGTTGGTCGTGGTTCGGGTGGGGTCCGTTTGACACCCGTCCGAAAATTCCCGGTTTCTAACCCTTAGAACCGTTCTGGGACCGACCCTGGTGAAAGCCGGCCGCTTTTCACGAAAGCCGGCCGGTTTTCGACTGCGAGAATAATTCTCAGTATTAAATCACGAAAGCCGGGTGGCTTTTACGAAAGCCGGGCGGTTTTCGTCGCCGTAGTTTTTATTCAGGGAATGGTTTCGAAGCCGGACTGTTTATACGAAACCCGGCCGGGTTTCAGCAGCGCAGGAATCCCTAGGCCCGACGAAAGCCGGGCAGCTTTCGCCAAAGCCGGGCGGCTTTCAGCTGCGAGAAAATTCCCAGGTCAGGCATTTATGAAAGCCGGCCGGTCTTTACAAAAGCCGGCCGGTTTTTGGTTGCGAGGATTTTCCTGATTAAATGTTGACGAAAGCCGGGCGGCTTTTGGTGGAAACCGGCCGCCATTCGTCGCCGCAGCATTTTCCCAATAATTCAAGACGAAAGCCGGGCGGCTTTCGTCAAATGCCGGGCGGCATTCGCCCAGGGCGGGGATTTTTCCTCCCCTTTTCCCAACAATCCCGACCAAACCGTCGGGGTTATAAATTTTGCACCTTACAAACACTCCTATTGCATACAATGGAGTAATATCATGAGTTTAAGATCTTACCCACCACGGAGTCCGGGTTAGCACGTGCGTCTGCCTCCGTCATCGCATAAACTCTAGCTTGACTTCTTCCTTGATTCACGGACGGCGCATTACTCGTGTTCGCTCCCCCCTGGCCCACACTGGCATGAGATGCTTCGGCCCGGTTCCTACTTGCCGTGGTAGCGCCGCTTGGTCCTGACCCCCGGTCCCCACCAAGTTGAAGGCAGTTTGGCTTAATATGCCCTGTACTCCCGCATTGGTAGCACCGTGGTGGATCACGACACTTACCGGCGTGGTTCCTGTTGCAATTCCTGCACCTGGGCGTCGTTGGGGCTTGTGAGCCCGAGTAGTGCCCGCTCGTGGCCGGGTTTCCCTTGGATGGTGCTGTCGGTGCCCTGAACGATCCACCTCCCCCATGGTTCCCCTTCTTGTTGGGACCTTGGGGGCCATGGCTTTCCCACTTTCTTTTCTTAGCCTCTTCGGCATCTCTCTTCTTCCTCTCCTCCCATTGCTTTTCTCCTTTCAACCCTTGGGCGACCACTTGACTGAAAGTCATGTTGGGCAACTGAGTTGCCCTGTCGCGTATCTCCAAGTCCAAGGCCTCCCAAAAATGATTCACCATTCGGTTTTCATCACAAGCATACTCCGGTATGTGATCAGCAAGGTCTCTGAACTTGTTCTCAAGTTCTTTCACCGTCATGTTACCACCTTGGGTTAGGAGAGTGTATTCCCTCACCTTGGCATTTACTTCGAAGTCAGAGTAGTACTGGGCAAAGAATTCTTGTCGAAAATCCTCCCATGTAACAGTTCCGCCATACTTACCCTTGGTTCCATCCCACCATTTGGATGCCAACCCTTCGAGTAACCTTACCGCGATTCTCAGTTTAAAATCGGGGGTGAGCTGCATGTCAAGGGCTGCCTCGTTCAGCCTCTTGATCCACTGTGCGGCAACCGAGATGTCTCCCGTCCCATCGAACGGTTTGCACCCTAAGTCCCTCGCCTCTTTGATGTATTTGGAGATCCTTATGGCTGGACCTCCATCGCCCCGACTTCCATGCGCTTCCACATGGGTTCTCGAATCGCAATAGCTCCTCCCTCTTGAAACCCCGCCCGAAGGTTGCCCTGCACGGTGCCTTCGGCGTGCCCTCCTTTCTTCGCGCTCCCGATGATACTGTTGGAGCAGCGCTTCGATCCTGGCCAAGGAGCCACTTTCCTCCTCATCACTCACATCATCATCATTCCCTTTGTAAGGGGTCTCAACTGGCTCAGTCCCCGGCTGGTAGGTTGAGTCCTCATAGGACCAATAGGTCTCACTTTCGGTATCGACGTGGCCATCGCTCACGGTTTGACGTTGGCCTCCACGGCCCCTTCCTCTTGATCCCCTAGAGGACCCCCGGCTACCGCGCTCGGACCCACCCGGTGCACGGCCCAACGGGTTCCTTCTAGTGATCCTTCCAACTGGTTCCATTTCTGAAAGAAATTAGAATGAGTCATTAGACTCGTATCGAATGTCAAATGACGGACGGGTACTTAAAAATATCATTTGGCTCAAATCACCGTCGTACCAATTGTTAAGGGTACCATCTTAACAGTTAGAGACTTTGCAACTCAAGTACCAAAAGGTCTATAAGTACAATTTTTTTTATGCTCATGGTTTTCAAATTCGTTTTCGAAAAGGAATTTTGGAGCTTCATTATGAAGTTTACGAACTGGCTCTGATACCATTTAAATTGTCACGCCCCGGACCTACCAGACACATCAACAATCCACCGTACAGTACGATTTGTCAACCGCAGTTCAACACATTCATACTATACAAGGCGTCTGGAATATCATTCACACGTAGCACATCCATAAACAAACATAATGTGAATTATTCTTTAAAACAGCGGAAACAACATTACAAGTGTTCAAGCCACACTTGGCAAACATGGGTATACAAACCCCCGAAATGTATATTCAGAAAATAATATCCATGAGCATTATTCATATTGTTTTCAAAACAAGAACGGAAGAAGCACGAACCAAGTCTTCTTCTCAGAAACTTCCCGAAACAGCGGCTGGTAGTAGCAACCTTCAAGTTCTACCTGAAACTGTGAGGTGGCCTCCCCCGTGAAGGGGAGGTCAGTACTTGGAAGCATTTGACAAGTACAATGACAACTATACTAAGTATAATCGAAGTTTAAATCTCTGAGGCCCTCAATCTAGAGCATTATTACATTATAGTTAATCCGTTCATTTAGTATCAATTCATCATTATTTACTACGGTCTAGAGCCCAGCTCATAATCACCGTTATCTACTACGGTCTAGAGCCCCGCTCATAATCACCGTCATCTACCACGGTCTAGAGCCCAGCTCATAATCACCGTCATCTACTACGGTCTAGAGCCCAACCCATAATCACCGTTATCTACATCGGTCTCGAGCCCGACTCATAATCACCGGTTCTTTATAATTCAAATTCTTAGGATCTAATTCATCCATTTCTCAACTAACATTTCCAACTAATATTTCAATGCTAGTTATTTATTTATTTCAATATAATTCTTCCTTCATGCATGATTGGCCTTAATATCAAATATCACTTTTATACTTTCATGGCTTCTCCTCATGGTATCAAAGTATACTATCTCAAATGAAATTCATGGTTGATACAACCATCATACACTCGTATTCATAACATCTAAACATACACAATTTATTCATAAATTTGTATATCATGCATACTATACTTATAATCAATAGTAGTTTTATTTAGGCATTATTAACCATTAACAACCCATGCACATCACATTTGTATTCACTTAGGAGATCCCATGAGATTAACCCAAAGATTATAAGAACCATAGTCGGTCATCCTCACATTAATTAAGCTTAAGCGCGTTCTACGCTTCTCGATTGAACTTTGACTAATTTCGGCGAACTTTGACCAACTCCGGCGAACTTTGACCAACTCCGGCGAACTTTGACCAACTCCGACGAAACTCCGGCGAAGCTCAAAAATACTTTAAATCAAGTTCCTAACAAGGTTTTATCATCACAAAACCCATATCAACACAAATAACCTATAAAAGGTTATTTTCCGGCAAACCGGTCGATTTGGCTTCTAAGTCCGTTCTTGGACATAGAACCACTTTCCAACCCATAAATCCATACTTAGAGCATGGAGAACCATCCCAAGGGTTCTTCATATAATAAATATTCCTCATGGTAGAAGAAGAATAAAGGGAAAGCTATGGCAAGGTGATTACCTCAATTTCCACACTTTCCTACACCTTTTTCCTTCTCCAAACACTCCTCTTTGGATCCTCTATCTTGAGCTCGAATTTGGGTGTGAAAATGATGAATTTCAGAGCTCCTCCTTGCTATCCTTGGGTGTTGCTACGAGTGGGTGAAGGTGGTGAGGTGAGAGGGGTGGTTTTTGTCTCATTTAGACAAATGAGTGAAGGGATGGGGTCTACTAAATGTCAAAGGATGTCTCCCCCATCCTATCAATTGTTATTCAGACAACTTAGCACCCATCCAGCCCCCAAGGGTTGACAAATTCGTGGGGTGGCCCCCACCCATGTGGGAGGTCATCCTAATTTGCCCCAAAGTGTACAATTTGCCCCGAAAGTTGTATTTTCTGGACTGTCTTAGATATATTTCATTTTATCGGGTTAAATAAATATATTATGTGTTCTTAATCATTATAACATTTAGAATGAATATGCATTCCCCAACTTTAATTTATAAGTCTCCAAAATCCAATTTCGAGCTTTTATCTGATAAATTTATCGATACCGGTATTTGGTCCTCTATTGACCAATCGGTCAACTCTGGGCCTTTCCATGGCCCAAATGAAGTATCCACCATCTATAAATATTTTCTAGACCCAGATGAATATAATATGTGGTCCCGATAATATCGGGCGGTCCCCACTCCCGATGTGGGCCCCACGTGCATTTTACTATTCACGCGAAAAAAGTTAATACAAATTCACAACCTCGTAAATTCACTAAAAATTCCATAGGGTTCAATAAATTATTCGCTTAAAGATAAATACATTTGGGGACGGTGTTACACCAATGACCTGAAACTCCGCATCTGTAGCATGGTTCTTCCCCAACTCGGTCTCATTTGACTGGACGTTTTGATGGTGCGTTATGGGCCTTGTTAGTTTGACCATTAGTCCCGCCGCTTGTATCTTTCTTCCACACTTTGGAAAATCCTCCACGGTCCGTACCTCGGCCTCCACGCCCGCCGCGATTGTTTCGCTCCCTTCCACGAGTACGACCCTCTCCTCTTCCACTAGGGTGCTTTCCAGTGTTTTCTTTGCCATAGTTGACCTCGGGAATTTTCTTTGTCCCAACTAGTCTGACATTGTTATTCAAGAGAACTTGATTTTGTCTTTCAGCAACTTGGAGCAAATTAATTAACTGATTAAATGTGGTTATTCTTTTGTTATTATGCTCCAACCTATACTGGTTCGCTAGTATAAGTGCTGAGGTAGGGAAAGTGGAGAGGGTCTTATCCATCATTTCATCTTCTGTGATTGGTTTACCACAGAAATTAAGGCGCGCTTTGAGGCGTAACATGTCCTTATTAAAATCGTTGATCTTTTTGTAGTCGACTAAGCGGATTTCATTCCATTGCACTGTCAGTTCGGGGAGCAATGTGTCATGTATGTTCCCAAAACGACCTTTTAGTGCGTCCCACAGTTCTTTGGGGGTTTTCAATTGTAAGTATTCCCAGCGTAAGCTAGGGTCAATATGGCGTCTAAGGAACATTAACGCAGCAACCTTTATTTTTTCAGACGGTGCATTACCTTTTAAACTTTCAGGGTCGGCAAGCGTGGCGGAATAGTCTTTAGCCACAAAAGTGAGTTCTATGTCAGAAACCCAGCGATGGTACTCAAGTCCTTCTGAGTCCAGGATGTCAAACTCGGGTCGAGTTGGATCAGTCATCTTAAAATATAAAATTGTATGAGTGTCATTCACTACCATTTATCGCTAAAAAAATGAATAAAAAAATGCGATTCTTTGTGTGAAAATTCTTTATCACATAAAAACAATGTCATGTGGTATGTCTCTTTGCAGACAATATTTTGTATAATGCATCGAAGAGAGGAGATATATATTTATCTCCTTAAAAAATATCATAGAGATTTTTTTAGGATGTTATATGGTGTGTTTAATATATAAAGTATTAATATTGGTCTAATGAATAGATTAGGTATATCTCATTTTTTTTTTGAAAAAAAAAGAACGAATTTAATAATCCTTTTAGTAATATTATTTATATTGTTGAATTATTGAAAATTTATTTTGCCATATATTTTAATTATATAAAAAATGGATCTTAAAAACGAATTTAATTATCATTTTTTTTGAACTTAAATAGTATATTTTGACAAAAATTTCGATTTTTTTTTTAAAACAAACTTCGAATTATCAAAAATAATTAATTATCGAATTTTAGTTATCCAAAATTAATTTGTAAAAACGAATTTAATAACATAGTAGTAATTTAATATGCATATATTTAAAAAAAAAATTGCTTCGTATATGCGGATTACCAAAAATTGAAGTTTTTTTTCGTTTTTTTTTATTATTAATTTCGGGAATGAGATTGAATTTTCTAAAAAAAATGAATATATATATAAATTTGCTTCATATTCCGTTAAATAATTTTATTGGTGTGAACAAATTGCAAGTTTAAAAAAATTGACATGAAAATATAGCCTAGAAGTATAAAGAAAAGACATGTACATGAGTCAACCATATATATACACACGTAACATTTTATTATGCGTGTGGGTGTATGCATGTGTCAATTGTATGTTATGAATAATAAATGTGCATAAAAAAAATGGAATAGTAAAGTCAAGATTTGTCATATATATTCATTTAAAGGTGGCGGTTTTCTAAATAGAATGGAAAAATTGATTTCATTGATTATTTAGTATTATGATATATTTAGAAGGATATTTTTATATGTTAATAAATTTTGAAAGAAAATTCGCACTTTTCATTTTTAGATTCTTGTCATATATATGTTAATATATTCTTTGCATATTAATTAAACATACACATATGGGGAAAAAATATTAATATAGATGGAAAGGAATATTAAACATATATTAAATAGTGAAAAGAGTAATCTTACGTGATTACGGTTCCAACTATATGTAAGTGACATATAGCATTACGGAAAAATATAAACACATAATATGTATAAAATAAATAAATAAATAAAAATGTATAATGTGATCTTAATTCCAACTATATGTATTTAATATATAGCTTTACGGAGAGTATAATCATATAAAGTAAAAGTAAAAAAATGCACAATATGATTTTAATTCCAACTATATGTATTTAACATATAGCTTTACGGAGAGTATAATCATATAAAGTAAAAGTAAAATATGGTTAATTCGGGTGTTCTTTGATTCCAACTATATGTATATGGCATATAGCTTTACGGAAAAATAAGATCACATGTATGTATGCAAGGAGGAAGATGCATGATATAATATTGATTCCAACTATATGATTATAACATATAGCATTACGGAATTATATTAAAAAAAACTGCATCTCAAAGATTTTGAGTTGAAAAATACCTCAAAGATTTTGAGTGTTGCGGTGGTGGACGTTGGAGTGGGAGGGAGGCTACGGACTGCTGCGGCAATTTGGAGGAGGGAGGCGTGGAAAAATTTAGAGCTACGTGCTGATAACGTGTTGTGGGGAATGTGAGAGAGGTGTGTTAGTTCATTAGCAAGCCTCCTTTAAATAGGAGGAAAATAAGGTTTACAAGGCATGGGCCAATGGGCCATATAAATATAAACCTAAATACACTTTCTATCTATAACGAATGCACATTAAAGGTAATTTCCTTCAACAAAAAGCTAAAAGTAAGGGGGTGAGTGCTTTAAATTGGGTTGTTTTTCACGTTTTCTTACATAAAATATTTTTTCAAAATTCTAACTATTACTTTTCATTTCAAACACTATCAATATAACTTTTACTTTTAAAATTCATTAGTTTATGAGATTCTTGCTTTTAAATATGTATATATTTTATTCACATCTACATGGTAAAGAAAAATATTATCTTAATCGGATACACGATAAAGAAATACATGTGGCATTAGAGATAGCCACATAAATTTTACTCCGTAGCAAATAAATTATCTCTCTATTTTTCTGAATGATTTTATAAAATTTTGGTAAGTTTTTTTCCACAATGTCGAGAAGATCGTCTAAATGTTGACATTGTGATTGACATTGCAGAGAAAAACTTACCAAAATTGTATAAAATCATTCCAATATGGAGAAAGATAATTTATTTTTTAATATTTATGAGTTATCTCTCATGTCACATGTGCATCGTGCACATTGTAGCATTGTAGATGCTCTTACGTGCATATGGTAAAATTATATATAAGCTAGCTATTAATTTTCTTAATACATTGAAATTGTGTAACAAGTTTAGAGAAAATTCCCGAAATAGGAGTAAAAACGTTTTGAAATTCCAAAATATTATCATATTTTTATTGCCTGAATAGGATTAGTTACTACCAAGTTTGAAAAACATTGACATGCATGTTTAAAGTTGGGTACTCCTGCCAAAAATAGCAGTAATTACTCTTATTTCGGGAATTTTCTCTATACATTATTCATATTTAATTAAGCTCTCATTTTCTTTAGTAAGTTATAAAAGTGATATAACACTTACTGAAATTTCAGCTAACATTTTCATTTATAAATTATGATGATAAATTTTATTTTAATAAATTTAATTTGTTACAAATTAATAGTTAACTTGAACTTTCATTGCTTCATTTTAATCTATCTTTGTGTAGATTATAATTTGTTCCAAATTACGCGGGAAATAAGATTTACGTTATAAGATTTAACTTGGAAAACTGTAGCACAAACTTTGTGCGGTAATTAATTATGACGACAGATTTGTTGCCAAGTATTATTATATAAGTAACACACGTGTGATTCAGATTTGTTTCCAAGTGTTATTGGTATACGGAGTATATATATGGTAGAGAAAATTTATACCAAGTTAGAGATATCATCATAATTAATTATTATCTTATTATCATTTTAGACGGGAATTTTGGAACTAAAAACTGCCGCACTCTGCTACTTTATACTATCGTATTATATAAAGATAGAGATAAGATTAAGGTTTCACGTGTAATCATTGTAATTCTCATATGGAGAATCAAATTATGACTCCTATTAATTAGTGTAATCGTTATGTTTATGTTAATAAGATTCTATTCCACATACATGGGCGGGAACTTAATTATTATGGCAGATTAGTTTCCAATATTTCCCCTCTTTTAGAGGTATTTTGGGCGCCAAAAGTGGTTGACACACTGTTATTTCATATTATATAAAGATGTACTCGTATATGTATATTATTATACTCGGTAGTAACTAAATTCTATATTTCCCTTATTGGCATATTTCCCTTATTGGCACGGTAGACAGAACATTATGATAATTACTTTTCTTTTATCTTTATATGCATTGGGTAAGAAAATTGGGGCAAAAAATGTAACTTTTCTACTTTGTATTATATAAAGATAAAGACTATTATTATTATTACTATTATTATTATTATTTTTTACATTGGTGTAGTACTGTAGTAGTAGTAGTAAGAAATTATTTATTTTTATAAATTAAAACGAATTATTATTTAAAATTTTAAATATAGCAAGTACTTTGTATGCTATTAGACTATCTTTCCATTTTGCAATAGACTTTTATTTGGGCGCCACTTTAGATGAACTTGCAGTGCACTAATGCACTTATGACAAATAAATTTGGTAATAATATATTTTAGATATACCATGTATTAACGGTATGAGTTTGTATACCGTGTTATCATCCCACGGTGAGGACCATGCTCCACTCCCAAAACGATGTAACTTTGAACAATTTTTTAAAAAAAAAAAAAATCGCATGACACTACACATGTGTACAGTAACTATTTTTCTTTCTTTTTGTCTCAATAGCATGAATGATGTAACTCGCATATAAAGATATGTAACTTACATTTTGGTCGGAAGCGAGAGGTGCAAGCAGTCGGACTTTAATTCCAGACTGTGGCATTGCGCCATCAATTTAGGGAGTTGTCCTCCTTCCAGACCGCGAGATATGGACTAGAGCTCGGCGCTGCGAGATTCGTACGAGAGCTCGGCGGGGTCGGAAGCGAGAGGTGCTCGACCAAGGTCAGGACCGTCAAGTAGTCCAGCCTTCGGCGTTTGCGTCTGAATTTAGGGAGCTGACCACCTTCCAGACCGCGAGATATGGACTAGAGCTCGGCGCTACGGGATTCGTACGAGAGCCCGGCGGGGTCAGAAGCGAGTGGTGCTCGACCAAGGTCAGGGCCGTCAAGTAGCCCAGCCTTCGGCATTGCGCCTCTATCCCCCCCCCCCCCCCCCCCCCGCCTTCAATGCTAAAGGGGGAGATGAAATTTCGTGGGGTGCCAGGACTTACGGAGTTGCCTGAGCCCAAAATTTGGGAACCGCGTTGGGCTACTATCTCTGCTTGTTTTGTTGAGGAAGGAACAAGGGCTTGTATAGATGCCTTGACTTCTCTCTTTGGGAGCCGCGTTGGGTTGTTGTCCCTGTTCGATTGAGGGCTAACGAAGTGGCCTCAGAGATTGGGACCCGTCGAGGCTGTTATCCCTGGAGATTTGAGGGCTTATATGGTCGCGTCAACTTGTCGGAGCCTTGGCCGGAGAGCCTATATTCGCGAGGACTTATGAAGTCGCCTCGGTTATTGGGGCTCGATTGATGAGCGTGCATTGTCGAGGGATTACAGAACGACCTCGAATTTCGGGAGCCGCTGGGGATGCTTGGTGTCGATAGCTCCTCCACCTGAGCTATCTTGGAGATATACTCAGGCGTGTCCGAGCTCAGCTTTGACAGAATGTCAGCTTCTTGATTTTGAGCTCGTGGTATCTGCAGAATTTCGTACAGCTGGAATGTTCCCAGGAGTTCCAGTGCAGCAGGTTTGTATTCTTTCATCCGGGCCTCCTTTGTCTCACATGAGCCGCTGATTTGCCCGACCACGAGCCTCGAATCACACTTGATCCTCAGCTTTTCCGCCTGCATATTAGCTGCAAGGCGTAGGCCAGATAATAAGGCTTCATATTCTGCCTCATTATCGGAGACTTTGAATGCAAAGCGTATATCATAGTAAGCTCGGAAGCCCTCGGGGGTGATGAGTACAACTCCCCCGTAGGCTTTGGCTGCTAAAGAGCCATCAGTGAGTAATGTCCGCCAGCCGTCCTCGCCAGTTGAGGTGACTGGGGTTAGATCTCTGGCAGTGCACTCTGTCATGAAGTCGACGAGGGCCTGCCCTTTGATAGTCAGCCTCGGTTTGATCTCGATCTGGTATTGGCTCAGGAAGACGGCCCATTTGACCATCCTGGCTGAGCTTGTTGGGCTCCGCATTAATTGACCCAGCGGTTGGTGGGTGAGAACACGTACAACGTTTGCCTGAAAGTAGTGGACCAGGCGCTTCACCGTCTATACCACCGCAAGTACAGTCTTCTCTACTGTGGAGTACCGGAGCACGGCGTCGCGCAAAGTTTTGCTTATGTAGTAGGTGGGCTTTTGAGCTCCATCCTCCTCGCGAATCAGGACCGAGCTCACGGCCCCATGGTTGACGCCGAGGTAGAGGAATATAATTTCTCCGCGCTCAGGTTTTGATAATACTGGTGGAGAGACTAGGTATCTCTTGAGGTCGTCGAATGCTGCCTGGCACTCGGGAGTCCACTGAAATTTTGCAGACTTCCTCATAATTTGGAAGAAGGCAGTGCACGCTCAACCGATTCCCGAGCTTGGTGGTCTCGAGGTCGGACTCATAACTGGTCGAGTTTGATCGATTCCTGAGCTTGGTATTTTCCCGACCTCGGTGATCGAGATCGGGGTCGGGCAACTTCTCGGTCCTTAGCTTGTTCTGTTGACTGGCGCTTGTTCCTGACCCTAGCTAATCGGGGTCGGGGTCGGTATAGTTGTGGACTTAGTCTTTTTGCGTACTCCGAAATGGGTCCGTGATATTTTATACCGACGATTATGATACCCCTGGGGTATACGCCAATATACTCCATCACACATATTCTATTTTGACTCTCTTTTATTTATTAATGTATTATAAATTAAATTTCAAAAACATATTGCTAAATTCTCCTGATTTTAAAGTTTCAAAATCTTTTTTAATTTTTTTTTACTAATAAGGTATCAAAGATATTAATTTGTCAAACTTGTGCGTTGATAAAAGTGAAAAAGTGAACTATTCCGTTTAAAAATGAATAAAAAATGGCCTCACCATTACTAATTAGCTTTCCATTTCCAAAAATATGACTTATTTTTCTTTTCCCAAAAATATGACCACTTCCGTAACCCAGCCCAGCCCTACATTATCGCAGCTCCCATCTCCACCCTTCCGCAGCCTCCCTCCGTTCACAATCTAGCTTCTTCGGACTTCTCCTGTGCGCCCATTTGCAATCATCGACGCCAATTTTTTCTTCTCACCGCCGATTCACGCCTTCCACTGTGTTTGCAACCTGTCGCCTTCGCTGCATCGACGACCACAGACGAAGCTTGGTCAGAGATTCCATGGATTTCCGCCTTCCCATGGACGACGACTTCGATTTGAGGCCGCCAGTTCCGAATCCGCCTTCCTCAATGGGAGACGACTCCGATTTGTGGCCTCCGACTCCAGATCCTCCATGATGATAACTCCGATTTGGGGGCCGCCGCTGATGGCGGAGGTGCGGTGGTCATATTTTGAGCTTCTTGCTTCCCTAAAATGAAGACAAAAAGCTTGAAGCTGCCTGTTATTGTCCTCTGCGCAGGCTTGTGGAGGGTGCTATGGGGCTGGGGGACTAGGTTAGGGTGAGGCTGGTGTGGGACTAGAGGTAATTGGTCACGTAAGAGGCCTGGAGGAGAACAGGGGAAGGAGGAGTGGATCAGGGTAGGGATTTGGCCATTTGGGGGCTGGGGAGCTGGTGCATAGGACTGTGGTGGTCAGATGCAATTTTTGCAAGGGCTAAGGGGGTTGGGGGCTAAGGTGGGGGCAAGGCGGCATTGTCCAGGGGTGGCGGCGATCACTGGGGGTCGATGGTGGCAAGGGGGTTTGGGGACTGGGGCTAGGTATGGGTTGGGGAGGGGCTGGTTTGGGGTTGGTGTAGGAGAGGGCAGAGATTGGCGGCAGGCGACGGTGGGAAGGCGGTGATGGACTTGAGGGCAGTCACTGTGGCCGGTGGGCAGTCACTTTGGCCGGTGGAGCAGTCACTGTGGCCGGTGGGGCAGTCACTTTGGCCGATGGAGCAGTCACTTTGGCCGGTGGGGCAGTCACTGTGGCCGGTGGGGCAGTGGGCAGTCACTGTGGCCGGTGGGGCAGTCACTGTGGCCGTTGGGTCACTTTGGCCGGAGTCACTTTGGCTGGAGTCACTTTGCACTGCAGGGTTAATTTTGATGTTGGTCACATTTTTGACATTTTGAAACATAGATCACTTTTTTGTCTTTTATCATATTTTTAGTAATATCCAGACCAAAATGAACGGATACTTAGGCAGTTTAGATGTACCAAAATATCTCGATTTTTAAGCGTGACATAAAAATGTCTTTCTCTCCCCCAATTCGTCGATCCGCTCATCCGCCCCAACCCTGAGCCTTCCGTCTTCTTTCCTTCACCGATCCAGCTCTCTGTGGTCATTGTTGTGCTAACCCGCCGCCCAATATGTCTTGCCGCCTCGCCGCTTATTCCAGATTCAGATTCAGCCGAAAATCAACGACCTCCCTTCAGCTTGCAAAATATGACATATATAGCCATATTAAGAGGTATGAGTTCATAAATATGTACTTGCGTTGGAGTGAAGATGACAAGAACCAACTGAATAAGTCAATATTGAGAATGGTTGTGCTAAGAGACCACCATTTTCCAGGTATTGTGCTTTCGGCGTTTGAAGTGTTCAGGCGTAAGAATGAACCAATTCATTTTATAGGAGTACTTTCTAGTGTTTAGAAGCCGATGTCAAATAAAGCTGAAATAAGGTAGCTCGGCCCCATTTTTTTATCAGATGAATTGATTTTCCTAGAGCAAGCCACCCACTCAACATACGGCGATACATGTTGCTCCTCTAGCAGATTTAAATGAAACAAAGAGCTAGTTTATTGAGGCTATAGGTTAACTCAATAACTCTGACACCATTCATCCACTTTCATTCAAAGAGTAATTTGAATACGCAGTATCTAGAAGTTTAATTTATTTATTTAGCTACTTTATTGTGACTGGCACACTGGCTGACATCTTTGTAAAATGGGAAGTGTATTCATTATTTCCAACGCCACTTCGACGCCTCGTCCAAGAAGTGTGTTACCAATGCATTTCAATAGTGTTTTTGACTATGATATGATGGATGGTGGGTGACCCGAATTTTGACCCGTATCTTTAGGCGGGAAAATGACCTGATTTTCCACTCCGCTTTGTATATAGTAAGATTAGACAAACTCCAAAATCTCATTGAGTGAATTGGGGTTAGATGTTGGGTTTTTCTCTCATTCTAAATTCGACACTAATCTTAGAAACCAAAGTTCTTATCTTTATATAAAAAATCTTAAAGAGTATATTATATTACGGAGTATTATGATATACAAAGTTTAAAACCAAACAACTTTTAAAAATCAAACAGATAATATAATATTATATACTCATGTACGTAGCTTTACATTTTTAACATTTTTAAGCATAATAATAAATAGCTAATTTTATCAAAGAGAACTGACTGGTATACAATTGTCTACCTCTACCCCCTTATTGTAATTGTCTTGTCGCTAAAAAACTCATCCTATACTCCCTCGGTCTCTTTCATATGATAATATCTTATTTCTATCATATAATCACTGGTTCAATCACTTCAATGAATGACATCGATCACTGCTTGATATGAAATCACATATAATTGGCACAATCACTGGTATATATCAATCACTTTGGTATAAAATCACATAAATGTGTAATACTAAACACATCGGCATCATTCTTGTACAATGGGCATGAATGCCTAATATTTGGTAGAGTGATACGAACCTGGGGTGAGGCTGGCCTGTGAAAGATTAGTCTCTTTTCTGGAACTTCAGCCACATCATTGGAGCAGTTTGTGTACAATGATAAAATTAATACTTGTGGAGTGGTGTATATATAACACACCTTGAGCCTTGTAGAAAACCATCAAATTCCACTCTTTATATAGACAATAAACGTACAGAAGCATTAAAGAAGAGAAAATTAAATGCTTGGCTGATTTAGTGTAACTGAAGTATTTTTGGAGATTTTTTGGACGAAATTTATGCATATGTTTATGAATATATATTACAAAGTATCATTTCAGATCACATACTTCGATATTACAAAATTATGGCCAATTTTCATGCATATTTTACTCAACCTTATGCAATTTGTGGCTGATATTTAGTATAGTATTAATTGATGTTCTGACCAAATTTATCTACACATATTTTTAGCAATGAGTTAATTCTTATAACCGATGCCAAAGATTGAACCTTGGGAAAACCATCCAATCCTACTTTTTTATTTAGACAGTAAACCTACATAAATTTATCAAGATTGCAAGAGAGAGAAAAATGTTTGCCTAATTGAGTGTAGCAGAACTAATTTAGGAGTGATTTGGACAAAGTTTATTTTGGAAACTTAAGTTTTGTATATTTTAGACAGGGTAATTTCAGATGACCTACTTGAAGTTACAAAATTAAAGGCAGATTACTGCATATTTTAACCAAATTTAAAATTTTGCAGCTGATCAATGCACATCAAATGCCTGCATTTCTTGGACTGAAACTGGTTTTAGTTCACTTTTTAGTGTTTGTACATATCTGGTGTTCATGTTTATAATATAACATGTAGTAATTTGTAGCCAAATACTTATTCTTTTTCTTTTTGAAAACACACTTGTCATTATGACTCCATTAAAAGTGGCAATGACTATAACACATCAAATGTTACTTATTGAATACAGTGATGTCTATCAACCATATTTTATTGGTACTTTGGTTTGTCCATCCCCAAATGATGGGAAAGGTTCACAAAGCGAACAGAAACCTTGATATCAGAATGCCTTGATATCAGAAGTTACAAAATTAAAGGTAGATTACTGCATATTTTAACCAAATTTAAAATTTTGCAGCTGATCAATGCACATCAAATGCCTGCATTTCTTGGACTGAAACTGGTTTTATTTCACTTTTTAGTGTTTGTACATATATGTTGTTCATGTTTATAACATAACATGTAGTAATTTGTAGCCAAATACTTATTCTTTTTCTTTTTGAAAACACACTTGTCATTATGACTCCATTAAAAGTGGCAATGACTATAACACATCAAATGTTACTTATTGAATACAGTGATGCCTATCAACCATATTTTATTGGTACTTAGGTTTATCCATCCCCAAATGATGGGAATGGTTCACATAGCGAACAGAAACCTTGATATCAGAAAATTGAACCATGTGATAGAAAAACCATGGCACAGAAAAAACCTATTGTACTTGATAAAAAAACAACCATTGTCAATATCAAACTCATCGATTTTATATTATCGGAAGTAATCAGCCATTTAATCAATCGGCTCTCTTTTAATCTCATGGGTCCTGCGTATCTTGCTGCTTGATCCCTGGGTCGCATCATCCTCTACCTCAACTACTGCCCTCTTTCCATTTGACTTGCTGGATGGAGTGGTTTCTTCATCCTAAAAAATCATCATTTTAAACAATGATATTTAAACTTTGAGCACATTTAATGAGCTATATATGCATGTGTATTTTATATCAAATAGTTTTGTGTTTCTATCATAACAAACATTTGAGTGCAGTTGGACCTCTAAGATATTAAACTCCACATTTGAATCAACCTCTTCCACAGTCTGAAATTAATGATTTTGTATTTAGAGGGGTCTATCATGATCTTTATGAAAAGGTTTTTAAAACACTGTAAATTGTTATCTTACATTAACAGTTACATTGGTTCCTTGTGATGGAAATCCAGTGTCATCAACATCATCTCCAGTGTCATCCTGAAACTTTTGTAAATAGTTGAAACTTTTGTCTTATAGTAAACACAATAAATTATGTAGTTGAGGTAGTCAACCCTTGATAAGATGCAATGATTTGAATTTCTGCAATTTTTCAGCATCACTAAACATCCTTTTAGCATTATAATTCTTCCATTTACTCTCAATGTTGACTTCTCTGATTTCTACCTTGAACAACAGAGTCTTGTCGAGAATCAAATCAAATTCTTTAGGTATGGAATCCATAACACCACCCTACATATTAAACATATAAGTGATTATTTGTTGTGTAATTGGGTATTATAAGAGAAATATTAGTTAGTGTACAACCTTTTCCATGGAACTTAAAATATCTGAAGCAGATTTGCCTAAGAATGGAATTACACAATTTTCAAACGCTACAAATGTAGACGACCCGGTACCATCAATCACTTTCATTTCCAGCTTAAACCTGCACATATATCATGCATAATATATTTAAATTGTTGCTAATGTACTGTATACTTACTTCTTTAGATGAGTGTTGTAGTTTTGGTATTTTACCTTGGAACCGCAAGTCTATAAGTATCACATGACCCGCTATGACAATAGAATTTTGTTCCAACAAGATGAAGCTTTTTGAAGCATTTTTGGCATGACTGATAATACCAAGCATCTATATCTACCTCAATCACTTTGGCTAGTACAAAAACGAAGCCCTTCTGCTAAATTGCATGACATTAGGTATTGTGTGTTTGCATGTGAATATGACAACATTTATTCATATTAGATAAAATAAGATAAAGACACACCTCTGTTGAATCTAGGAGGTCCGAGATTGTCATGAAAGGGGTTTGCTCCAATTCATTTTCAAAAGTAGAAGGAACCTGATCCGAGATATTGGTCACTGTTTGACTCAATGAATGCTTCCCAATACTATATCTGTTATGATCACATCAGATAAAGTTAATGATATTTAAGATCAAAACAACTTAAGGTGGCAACAGAATAATAGAGATCATGTTGACTACCTCAACTACATAAATTTATTGTGTGATCATATTTGTTCCAAATCACTTTTGTTTTGACCTTACTAGATGGGATTAATTTTGACCTCTATATCTGTTATGATCACACAATAACTTATGATCTCTATATCTGTTATGATCACACAATGATATTAGATGGGATTAACTTTTGCTCCAATTCACTTTTGTTTTGACCTTATTAGATGGGATTAATTTTGATCTCTACATCTGTTATGATCACACAATAAATTATGTAGTTGAGGTAGTCAAACAGAATTAGTGGCATTAACTTTTCATGACCCTATTAGAGATGCATGAAAATTTTTTCACTCTATTTGTGGCATTTATTTAATGTCTTTGTTTTTGTAGATGGTGCAAGGCAAGTATGCTACGAATGATGTCATTCCAATGGTATAGAAAAAAGGTACATAACAAATTATCCCCGGGCTTTAAATTTTTTATTACTAATACAAACTAATGATATAAATGCGTCCATTTGTTGGAACAAAACTGATTTTATTGCATTTTGTAGTCTGTGTACTTGTTTACTTATTTGTAGACACACAGTTAGTTATTGAAAAATGATGCCTACCAACCAAATGTTAGTGTACTGACCCATATACCAACTATAATTAAGTATGAATATTAATATTATGTTCTAAATTAGATCAACTCCAATAGTTTCAGGAAATAAAAAGCTTATTTTAGATGAACATAAAACATTTTGAATATAATAATATATGCACATAGAATTATACCTCTGCTTATATTCAATGGCCTCCTTAAGTTTCAGGATCGATTAACAAACGTGTACCGTTAAATGCGTTTGTAACCCTTATAGTCCCTTATTAAGTTAATAGAAAACACGAAATTAAGGAGATAAAGCAAAACAACAAACTGTTAACCATTGATTGAACAACAACCATCCTTTTAAAAAAAACAACCATTGAATTTATTGGTTTGATCCATATCTAAAATGAGTATAAGGGGTCCCCTTGAACTCGGCATGTCAAACTTTTTTTGAATCTGAACTGCGAAGTCACCCCATAGAGTGCAACGAATTTGATTTCCTCTGCAAACAAAAATTGTGTTGAATATGAAAATAGCATAAGTAACACTAACATATAACTCTTTTTTGAAGGACTAATATATAACTTTTTGTTGAAGGACTAATATATAACTTATACATAACTTAGATTAAGATAAATAAGTAAAGTAAAATAAAAGATTAAAGATAAATATTATGAGGATATTTACTCTAAATCTTCCAACGTAATTTGGATACGTTTCATTTTCTTGCCATCTTTCTCCAGTTCCGTCAGAAAACCTTTTTGGGCAACATGGCAAAATGCCAATTTTTTACATTAAATCAATAAAGAGTGATATTTTTTAAATTTTACTACTTACGGTACCATCTTATTTGGACATACATATTATGGATGATTCATGTTTTCCTTCCAAAATTGCTGTATACTTCACAAAGTCAAAGTGATACATAGGTATTGCATCCGCTTGTGTATCAAATGACTTTGTGATACCCATAAATTGCAATTTGTACTTGTGTGGAGCTGTCTTTTTGAATCTTGAATCATTGGTAGCCACCAGCAAATTTTCGAGCACATAAGTACATCCCTCACGGAGGAAAGGATCAAACTTTGAGATTAGACTTTGCTTTACAGAAGCAGTCATCTTAGTTTTCTGTTAGAGTAGTTGAACAAAATAGTTAAAAATACTAGTTTTCTGTTAGAGTAGTTGAACAAAATAGTAAAAAACGATAATACTGTAATAATCAATGGTTGCATTATGCAGTAATTGTTGCAAATACATTTACCTTTTCATCTAGCAAAACCATCTCAATGCTCTCTGGTTGTCCTGTTTTGTTTTTACCGAAGGACTTCCAAATGCGTATAATACGCACATGAATCTTCCATTCGATTGATCCAGGCAAGATATGTTGCAAGAACGTGCTTGAAGGATTCATGTTTTATTAGAATACGACTCCGAGTAGACGAACAAAGGTAATAGTAAGATTATTCTCTAGGTAATAATATATAAAGTACATCTCAATTTTATTTTTGGATAGTATACATATATTGATGCGAACTACT